TGCTCTGCTCAGCCCTCTGTCTGTGTCTCTTTGTGGTCTTTTTTAGCAGCCACCAGTGGTCACTGCCCTGATTCACTGTGTCATGAAGAATTGTAAAATGGCTGTGTTCTATTTCCACCATTTCTTTTTCACTTTTTGGTAGGAGTGTTTCTGTAAAGAGGGAAGGAGACCCTGCGCTTTTCCAGAGATACCAATTGTCCAAGAAAGGCAGGATAATGTCTTGCTTTGGTTTTCCAAACAATGTCCTGGCTCAAAATAACACCCTGATTTCAAGATGACCTGCGTGGAGGTTCTCAGGTTCATTAGGTTCTCATGGATATCAACGTTTTTGTTGTTCTGATCCATTCTAGACCATATTCTATGTCCTGGACGGCGTTTATGATATGTGAGGTTACAGTTCTTGTCATAGGTAACTAGTCCCTGATTCTAGACCGTAATTCTGTGTCCTGGACGGCGTTTATGATACGTGAGGTTACAGTTCTTGTCATAGGTAACTAGTCCCTGATTCTAGACCATATTCTGTGTCCTGGGCGGCGTTTATGATATGTGAGGTTACAGCTCTTGTCATAGGTAACTAGTCCCTGATTCTAGACCGTAATTCTGTGTCCTGGACGGCGTTTATGATATGTGAGGTTACAGTTCTTGTCATAGGTAACTAGTCCCTGATTCTAGACTGTAATTCTGTGTCCTGGGAGGCATTTATGATATGTGAGGTTACAGTTCTTGTTACAGGTAACTAGTCCCTGATTCTAGACCGTAATTCTGTGTCCTGGACGGCGTTTATGATATGTGAGGTTACAGTTCTTGTTACAGGTAACTAGTCCCTGATTCTAGACCGTAATTCTGTGTCCTGGGAGGCGTTTATGATATGTGAGGTTACAGTTCTTGTTACAGGTAACTAGTCCGCCATTCTAGACGGTAGTTGTGTGTCCTAACGGTGTCTATTTAATGTGAAGTTGCACTTCTTGATGCAGGTAACTAGCCGCGCTATTCAGATAGACCTAACCAGGATGTCTTCCTTCTCCTTCATGAATCCTCAGGCAGCTTGCCTATGCCTTTGTGGAGTAAACGGAGCTGCAGTCTGTTCCAGGAAAGCTCCTCACGGGCCCGCGTCGTGAGGGAGCTGTGCGTGGAGGGTGTTTGGTTTGCGGGTGTGAAGGAGCCACAGCTCCCGTGGCTGCCGTTCAGTGCTCTGGCCTTTCCTCTTGTGTTCATTGCTCTTCTTCTGAAATTTCCCATGGTAAAGCTCTTTTCATTTTGCTAACTTGGTTTTCAAAGGGCGTGTGGCTTTACACCTGCTTAGGGTCCCTGTCTGCATCACCTGTGGGAAACGAAGCGTCTTCTCACTTCAGCTTTGAGGGCGTCATCACCCCGCGCACCCACAGGGCTCCCCAGTGTGGATGAGTGCTGGTGCAGCAGGGTTCAGGGCTCAGGGGCCTGTGACCGCAGAGGAAAGGAGGTTCACAATGTCATTCAGGAGTCCAGGAAGGGGCAGCCTTCTGGGGGACAGCCTGGAGCCCATCTGACGGGGAGGCCATGAGCGTGGGGACTGGGCGGAGGCATTTCCAGCAGAGGAGCCCTGGTGTGCAGTGCTTCCTCCGTGCCGGGTCTGGTGGGCTGGGTCGTAGAAGCCCTCGTGTCCTCAGTTCTTTTCCACGCCGCCCGCCGGCGTCCCTCACATGAGGGCCGGGTCTCACTGTGCGGCTGCTGTTCTGGGGCCACTGATGAGGTGGCTTCGCCAGCACAGCGGCTGTTTCTCCACCGCCGCACTCCTGCAGCGACAGCCTGGGGATGCAGTGAAATCGAGTTATCCATGAGGTCGCCGGAATCTGAGGACACATCCTTTCTTGTGATGGCGTTTGCTTACGGAGCTGCGTGCGTCATGGCCACCTCTCCTCCCCCATCACGCCGGGAGCAGGGGTCCCCTCTGTCTGCAGAGGCCTGGCCTTTATTGGCAGGGGCTTTGCTTAGGAGCACATCCATGTAATGTACACTTGCTTTTGAGAGACGTCAAGCTGTTCTGGTTTAAATTAATGGGGTCCTTTGTCATAACTGCGTGGAAATATACATGTAAGACCTCTGACCCAATTTTCCACGTGGAGGGGCGGCTGCACCTGATGAAGACCCACTGATGAAGCTCGGTGGTGATTTCACGTGTTGTAACTCTTCATCGTCCTGCTTTTCTGTCATGTGCTTGAAATCCTGCCAGGCCGGGGAAACAGAATATGTGTTGCTAGTAAAGTTGAACTCATGTTCAGTCCCGTGCAAAGCAGATGTTGCTGGGCGCTATGTGGGAGTTGTTGAGTTCAAAGGAATGTCATGGAGGGCTGGGTGTTTTCTCCAGTTGTTTATTTAAACTTAGTGATTATTAAAATTTAGTTTCAAATACTATTAATTTGGGAGATCACTGGGTTTACCAATAAGTTACATTGAATATAGGGTTTTTCCCCCTAGAGGTATGGCTCAGTCACTTAGCTTTGCTAGTATGTAGAAGGAACTCAGCTATTAAAGACTAAGAAGGCACAAAATAACCCTAAACACGTCCAAGTTATCATTGAATACTGTGCTGCTGCTACCATTCTTTCTCTCTAGGTGGTACTGGAGTACAGGCAGCCTAGTGAGAAAAGTCCCCGTCCTGAAGCATTTTGAGGCCAGATGTGGTGACTCACACCTGTAGTCCCAGCACTATGGGAGGCTGAGATGGGAGATCGCTGGAGCCCAGGAGCTGGAGGCTGCAGTGAGCTATGATCACACCAGGTACTCCAGCCTGGGCAACAGAGTGAGACCCTGTCTCAAATAAAATAAAATTAGTAGTAAGTTTAAGAAATATGTAGTCTCAGGACAGGCAGCTTGGTGTTTGGATTCTGAGACCTAGCTCGAATGGTGAAGGGTGGGGAACGACAGGAAGTCAGAGGGCATCAAAGCATCAGCCTGGCCCGGGTCTGAGGGTGCGGTGAGTTACGGATTCTGCTGTGCATTCGAGGTGCTGTGACCACGGCCAGGAACTGTGGCACAGAAGTAAAGGCCAGTGTCCGCTGCTTGCCCAGCCCTGCGCCACTATGCCCATGGCATCCGTCACCCTGGGTCCTGGTGCCCTGTGAGGAGAATGCTGATGTCACCTCCCACTCACAGGAGCCGTGGGGGCTCCGGAGCTTGACGGCCTTGTAGCCGACCGCCCCATGGTGTCCTAGGGCGTATGGACACAGTGAGGCCTCTTCCGTGCCGGGGAGGCGTGGGCAGATCTCAAGCCCACCCGGCTCTCCTCCCCACCCTCAAACACCACAATGAAATCAGAGTTCTGCAGCAAGACAGCCTGGAAGTAGCCCTCCCACTGGCACAAGGGGTCTGTTTTGAGAACTTCTCTAGTTTCCGGAGCTGCGTTCAGCCATCTGTTATGGAGAAGTGCACCGCCTGGGCATGAAGGCAGTGGGCTGTCAGGCCTCCTGAGTACCCAGGGAGCCCACGTCCATGCCTGTGAGGGAGAGGCCCACTTCGTGAGTCCACCTGGGGGCTGTGGGGAGCCCAGGCACAGCTGCCTTTGCTGCTGCTGCTGCCACCTGAGCACAGGTGGGGCCTGCCCGTGGTGTGTGGTCAGAGCCCAGGTTCTGTCTCCCCAGCCTGAGCCCGTCTTCCCTTGCTCAGCCGTGCCCTGCACTGCGGGCGCTGGGCTCTCGGGAGGTGGGCCATGCCCACAGCTCCACCTGGCTCACAGCGAGTGCCGCATTGTCGTGAGCACCTCCTGGTTCCCGAGCCCAGCGCAGGCGCACTGCCCCTTCTCTCCCACCTTTCCCTCCTCTAAGGAAGCCCATTCTGCTGGGCCCTTGGTGGCTGTCTGGGCACCACCCCGCAGCCCTGGACAGCGAACCCATGGGTGGGCTTGCCCCTGGGAAGTGCTGCCCATCCTGTGTTCCAGGAGAGCGGGGCCAATGAGCGCTTCACCCCTTGTCCTGCTCAAGTGACATGCGGCTCCCCGGTGGCTTCACGTGTGCCCACCCAAGGTTTCCTGCCAGGTGAGACGCAGTTTGTGTCCTGGCCTGCATGTCGGGACTCCCACGCATGGTGAGGTGTGTGGTGCGTGACAGTGGCTGGACAGGGTTGGAGTGACCGTGGGAAATGGACTGGGACCTGGAGGGAGGGGAGGCCACGTCCATATTGCATCTGCTCCGAATTCTCTGCCCGCGCATCCTCTTAGAGTGTCCTGGTGGAAGCCACCAGGTCACACGGGAAGCCGCATTGGCAAGATATTTGTTTCACTGCTCTTTAGTTATAAAAGCTTGGGACAGATTCAGCATGTGGCAGTGGTGGTTACATGAGTCAGAATCCTTGCTGGGGACCTCAGAGATGTGTCGGGGGCCTGGGAGTGTTGACGGGGCAGGGTGGGGTGGGGCTGGGGGACCGGTGGCGGCAATGCCAGGCTCAGGTTCCCGGCTCTACCACTTAGTGGAAGTGACCCGGTGTGACTTGCTGCTGTGTGTCGGGGTCCTCCCACTGTGAATGGGCCGTGGAGCACCTGCCTCATATACACATGAGCACACACGCACACAGGCACGTCTGCACACTCATGCTCACACATGCTCAGGCACACACGTGTGCACGCACACCCTTGCTGGGGCATGCCTGAGTGTTGCTAACAGGTGACTTCCTGGTGAGATTGTGACCAGTTGATCTCAAGGCTCCCACATGCTCTGCCGTAAACACGCATAACGTTTGTAACTGGGAAAAAAATGCCTCTAGATGATTGAAGAGGGTTCTGAGAAGTCTGGACTCTTTTCTAAGGAATTTGTGGTCATGGGAGGATAAAAAGCACCAGAAATACAAATAACTAAGAGCACAAAGGTGAGGTGACTCCTAGAATCTGTCCAAAAGAACCCGTGGTCGCAGGTGCGGGGCCCCGTCTCCACCAGCCCCGGTGGCTCCGGGCCGTGGGAACAGCAGAAGAGGTGCCAAGTGTGGCTGTCCGATGGCCCCGTTGGCCCTGACCTGTGCTTCTCTCCCTCCAGGTCGTGCACACGCACAAGCCACAGTTCATGGCTCTGCACTGCCAGGAGTTCGGAGGGAAGAACTACGAGGCCTCCATGTCCCACGTGGACAAGTTCGTCAAGTAAGTCTCAGGGCAGGTGCTGGGGCACAGCCCCTTCCCCGGGGGTGTGGGTGCTGGTGGGTGGGTACTGGTGTTTCCCCTTCCCCAGGGTTGTGGGTGCCGGCAGGGCGGGTGCTGGGACACAGCCCCTTCCCTGGGGGTGTGGGTGCTGGTGGGTGGGTACTGGTGTGTCCCCTTCCCCGGGGGTGTGGGTGCCAGCAGGGTGGGTGCTGGTGTGTGTCCCCTTCCCCGGGGGTGTGGGTGCCAGCAGGGTGGGCGCTGGTGTGTGTCCCCTTCCCTGGGGGTGTGGGTGATGGCAGGGCAGCTGCTGGTGCTTGTCCCCTTCCTCAGGGATGTGAGTCCTGGGGGTGGCGTCTTTTGATGGTACAGTGATCCCCAGCCTCATCATTTGGGACTCACCTGGGGGTCATTTTGGCTGAGTCTCAGTTTTCCAGAGATAGGAGTGGTCTAGACGTGTGGCCGCAACCCTCCTGGGGCAGCAATGGAAGGCAGGGTCTGTGCTCTCAGGCCAGGTATGTGAGCCCCCGGTACTGAGTGGAGCCGTCCCAGTGTGTGTGTGTCTGAGGCCTGGGCCTGCAGTGGCCCGGGTACACATCCCACTGAGATGTGTCCATCTCAGGGAGGTCGGCTGGGAGCGTCCATCCTCTGTGGAGGCAATGTCTCCATCATTAAGGAGGAAGGTGCCATGCATGTGGTCCCAGCGTGCATGCCCTGAGGCTCCTGAGGGGGCTGGCCCAACCGAGTCCTGCCTGGGAAGATGGGTGCCCCGCCCTAGGCATGCAGAAGTGGACAGGAGCAGGTAGGGGCAGGCAGGCAGGCTTGTGTTCAGACATGGACCTCCCGCCGGCCACTCCTAACAGGGGCTGCTGTATTTTCCCGAGGCCACAGCAGTGGAGCCCGTCCTCTGTGTCCCCTACACTGTGGCCCTGGCACATGCCCATGTCAGGGGTCCCGTCTCCACCTGCAGACCCTGGGCAAGGCCTGGCTTCCTCGCAGCATGAGGCCTTCACGTCAAGAAGCTTCACTGCTGCCGCACTCAGGGGGTGGATGCAGCTACCCCCGGTTGGGATCCCTGGACAGAGCCGCCAGGACTCCCAGCCTGGTCCCGGCGCCAGTGCCAGCGCCAGTGCGAGCGGGCCTCCAGGGCTCCCAGCCGCTACATCCTCACGTCCTGGAGTGACATGGCCTTCCACCCTGACTCCCAGCACGGGGTCCTTGAGCAGAACCAAGCAGTGCTTTCAGCTGCCAGAAAAACCGCCACAGCTTCCCAAAGTGATCTGTAGTTTAAGGCAGTTTTCACCAAAATCTTCACGGCATTTTCCTCACACTCAACAGACTAACACTAAATTGCTGTTTAGGAGCAAAGGGTCAAGAATAGCTAAAAGAATCCTGAAGAAAAACATAGTGGGTTCTCACCCAGCTGGACCCCAGGGCTCATCCTGAAGCAGCGGGGCAGGTGGCGTCGTGCAGGTGTCCAGGCCTGAGAGGGGAGTGGAGGCCCCGCCCAGACCCTCCGAGGCTGCCCTGCAGGAGGAAGGTGGGCAGGGGATCGAGGGGGCCTGTGTTGGGAAGATGAAACTGGGTCCCTGCTTTGTGTTGTCAGCAGCCACTTCCCACTCACCCTGTGTAAGATGAATTTCAGTTGTATTAATTATATAAATGTAAAAGGCAGCATTAAAACTTTCCGTCTCAAATGCGGGAGAAAATCTTTACAGTTTTGGGATGAGAGATTTCTTTTAAAATGGGCAAGAAGTGCAGCCTACAAAACACAAGGTTGAAAAGGGTGGCTGTGTTAAAACTCAGCGTTTGCTTATGAAAAAGCACTCTGACCAAAGTAAAAATGAAGCCACTCTGGGAAGGACGCCTGCAGCTCACATTACTGACGAAAACTAGAGCTTAAACCTGTGGACCCAGCCAGTCAGTAAGGAAAGCGGCACCTTCGGGAGGGAGGAGAGAAAGCAGGGACAGACCCTGGGCACGCGGGACGCGGGAGCCGCCCTCACTGCAGGCGGGACTCGAGCCGGACGGGAGCCAGGCCGCCGTGCTTGGTTTCAGAGCCTCACGCAGAGCGTGGCCCCCATGACGCTGTGTGTTTCGTTCCTCCGCACGTGCTGCCAGCGTACATCGTTACGATTTTTGCTTTAGACAGTTTTGTTTTTAAAAAAGATTAAGAGGTGAGAAAAACGTCCTTTATTTTGACCAGGTCGTGGGTTGATTCCACTGGCCTCCGCCCATTTGTGTGGATTCTGCTTTTTATTTGGCATGGTTCTCCGTCCGCCTGAAGAACTTTCTTTAACATTTATTTTAGCACAAGTCAGCTGCTGATGAATTTTCTCAGCTTTTGTTTGTCTGAAAGGGTCTTTGTCCTCGTTTTTGAAAGATGTTTTTGTTGTTTAATGACATCTCCCCATTGTCTTCTGTATTGCGTTGTTGCTGCCGAGAATCTCCCCGTTGTTCCCTCTTCATTTTCTTGTATATAATGTGTCCTTTCCCCCACTGCTAGGTTTGTCCTTATAGCTGGTTTTCAGCAACCTGATTATTCTGTACTTTGCTTTGATGTTCTCTATGTTTATCTCACTTGGGCAGTTTGAGCTTTTGCGGTCTGTTTCTTGTTTTCGTCAGATTTCGGGAAAGTTTGTCCATTGCTGCTTTAAATGCTGCTTTCTTTTCCTTCCCTTCTCTTCTGTCCTCAGGCTCGGGTTACCTGATGTGAATTGCCTGGTGCTGCTCCACAGCCCCTCAAGCTCCTCTGACTGTTTCCAGTGTGTGCTCCCTGAGTTTCGGTTTGGATCGCTTCTGCTGGGTCTTTTTAAGCCGCCTGGCGCTTTTCTGTGGCAGGTCTTGATCTTCTCTGAAGCCCATGCAGTGGACTTGTTTATTTCTGACGCCGTGTTTGTCAGCTCCTGGAGGCTCACGTGCAGTCCCCTGTCCTTGCTCTTCCGTCCGTCTCTGCTGTCCTCCGCTCTCCGGTCTCGTCTATAATGGCTGTTTCCAGCAGCTTTCAGCTCATGCCGTCATTTTTGTCCCTTTGGGTCTGTTTCTGTTGACTGTTTTTTCATGGGCTTGCAGGCCACATTTTGTTGCTGCTTCGCACATCAGATTGTTTTAGACACAATTCCAGATGTTAATGTTGCGCTGTTGAGTGTCTCTTCTCTAAAGCACGTGGAAGGTGTGTTTGCAGCGGTTAGGCCGCCGAGCGGTCAATGTCAGTCTGTCAAGCCATTCTCTTCCTTGCCCTTCTCTACTGGTGCGCTTTTATTTTCTTACACGTGGACGCCCCTTCTTCCTGACACGTGGACTGGCTGAGTCACAGGGTGCTAGTCTCCTTTCTCCCCACCGTCTTGAATGAGCAAGCATGGGTGGGGGGCCAGACAGGTGGGGCGTCTTCCTCCCGTTCACGGCTCCAGGGGTGTGCAGCGGCCTCCTGGGCAGCCATGCATTGTGGAGCCAGTGGTGAGATTATCTCCTTAAGACTTTCCTGATGATGAAATGTGACCAGGAGGATGAACGGTCGGTGACAACGGTGTGCCCAGAGGTCCTCTCTTTCCTTTATGGTTGCAAGGCCGTGGCCACTGTCCCCTCTGGGAGGAGCAGATGGGGACAGAGTTGCTGGGGCTCTGGGGTGCATGTGCCCCAGCCTGTGTGTGCTGGTGGCGATTGTGGGGGTCCAGTTTCTCTCGAGACCAAACGTGAGCTACTGGGAGACCTCCCCCGCAAAAGCTTAGAGTTGCCCTTGCCTGGCATGGGACCTTCCCACCGGTTCTGTCCCGGGGATGCCTCAGACCCCGGCACTCACTGCTGGGTGGAGTCCAGAGCCTGCGGGCTCATGAGCTCTCCACATGCCGAGAGCTCGAGGTGGGGCCAGCTCCTGCGGCTGCTGCCCTTCCCTGCCCTCTGCCTGTCACGGGCGGACGGTCTCGCGGTGACGTGCCCCCGGCACTGGGGCCCATCCTGATGCTCGTGGGCCTCTCGCGAGGTGTGAGGCGTCCGCGTGGCTTTTCCTCAGGAACTTCCTTTCTTCCTTCCAGAGAACTGTTGTCGAGTGACGCAATGAAAGAGTATAACAGGGCTCGGGTCTACCTGGACGAAAACTACAAATCCCAGGAGCACTTCACGGTGAGTCCCTTCCGCTGCCCGGCGCAGGGGTCACACAGGCTGACCCTGGCAGGAGCCAGCCCTTCACCTGTGTAAATGGAGAGGGGTCGGGGTGCTCCCCGCCCTGAGCCTCGCTCCTGCCACCCTACCTGGCGCTCCTGCAGCCTGCTTGGTGGTTTTCCGGGTGGTCTGAGCCCAGGGCCGGCCTGGCAGGGAAGGTGGCCTGGCACGCACAGGGTCCTGGGGCTCCAGACCGAGCCCAAGCAGGAGTCGGGAAGTGACAGCCCGGGAGGGGCCCAGGGCCTCAGTATGTGTGAAAGAGGGAGTCTGGGGTTCCGGGCGTGTAGATGAGAGGTTGGATGGCAGCCGCAATCTGCTCTGAGAGCTGCTGTCGCCAGCCATGCTCAGCTCCGGATTGGCCTGGCCCATCCCTTCCTGAGCCCTGAGGGTGCGGGGCTGGGGCGGCATCCCATCTCCAGAGAGGCTGTTCATGGGGTGAGTGCAGGGGAGGGGGACATAGCCTTTCACAGGGCTGGGAAAGACCTGTCCCAAAGTCCTGCCACTCCTCTGCGGTCCCCCATCAGGTAGACACGTGAGACAGTGGCCCCAGCGTATGTGACAGCCACAGAGACAAACGTACCAGGTGTCTGGGAAGGGGCGGGAAGCTCCTCAGAGAAAGGGACGCTCTGCAGGTTGTAAATAAATTGCTGTTGGTTCAGAGACCCACATCTTAAATTCTGTCTTTACGCCCTGGGCCCCTTGTCCTGGGTCCGTCTCCCCCGTCTCTGGGGAGGCCCTGGGTCACCCGGCCTGGGTCTGTCTCCCCGTCTCTGGGGAGGCCCTGGGCCCCTTGTCCTGGGTCCGTCTTCCCCGTCTCCGGGAAGGCCCTGGGTCACCCGGCCTGGGCCTGTCTCCCCGTCTCTGGGGAGGCCCTGGGTCTCCTTGACCTGGGTCCATCTTCTGGCCTTCTGTCCCCAGCGTCACCGCTCCCCAGCCGTGACCCCGCCGCTGTGTGGCAGGCCCTCTCCCAGGTGTGCGCCCGTGGGTGGCCGTGCTGAGGGTGTTGTACTCCAGGGCTCCCCTGCCCTGCAGGTGGGACTCATTGCTCTTTGGGTTCAAGGGCCATCTCACAAGCTTGGCATTTGGGCGCCTAGTGCCAGTTACTCAGTGTCCCTGTCCCTGAGATGCTCACACAGCTGCCGTGCATGGCCCCAGCCATAGTGGAGTCTGCACAAACCCCAGGAATCCCGCATTCAGCCCCTGCCCCTCGTGCTATCAAGCAGCTGCTCCCAGCCTCAGGCCTCAGGCCTCGCCCACCGACACGCAGGGGGCCGCTCCTCTTGCTCTGTGGGGCACATGGAGGCCACAGGGCCTCCTCGACCACAACCGAGGCCCTCATCCCCATGCTCAGGGTGGAGCTCCTCCTGTCAGCCCTCCTTCCTCTCCCGCCGTGGTCCCTCCTCCCTGCCGGCTTCGTCCTCTCCCTGAAGAGGAGAGCTTGACCTTGACCTCTCACCCTGCTCTGCCATGACCCGACTTCCTGTGTTTCCCAAGCGGGGCTTATTCAGATGAAAAAGGAAGTTGAAAAAGCAGCAGGTTAGACATCGCAGAAGGAAAGAGAAGGGGATTGGATTTGAAGACAGCCCCAAGCGCGACTCACTGTGAAACAGAGAAGGACTAGAAAGTTGATAGAGACCACCGTGAAATACCAGGTGTCTTAACACGTGTGGCCGGAGGCCCAGCAGGAGCAGAAGAGGAAGCAGACGGGGCAGTGCTTACAGAAGCCAAGTCAACGTTCATGAAACTTACCACAGATCCAAATACTGCAAGCTTCAAGCCAAATAAACATACCGACGCACATCAACGTCGGATTGCTGAAAGCATTTACATGAAGGCCTTCCTGGCCACCATCATCCTCGGAAGGGTGGGTCTCTGCTCCCCGCCTCTGTGTGCCACCCTGCCATGAGAGACTCGTCTGTGGCAGTTCCTGGCCACCTCCTCCTCGTGGGGACCGTCCCTCAGCTCTTCCCAGATTCCTTTAGATATAAAGATACCAGTACTTTAAAAGTGAAGGGAGGGAGGAAGATGTACCTTGCTAAACAGTAGTTAGAAGAAAGCAGGAGTGCCTGTGCCTTATCGAAGCAACCTCAGGACGAGGGCTGTTGTCAGGGCTGCGGGGCTCTGCCCCCTTGGCATCTGGGGCTCTTCAGCCAGAGCAGCAGTGGACACAGCCGCAGACAGAGGCACCTGCGTGCTGGACCCTGGCCAGAGCAGACCTCTCAGTCTGCCCAAGCCTGACCAAGGGACCGGGGAGGGAAGTGCGTGCGGGCTGGACGGGGGGATGGCCGTCATTTCCACCAAAACGTCTTTCACTGAGGCAAAAGCCTCAGGAAACCTTCTTCAGACCCCTGAGGGCTGCGACCACTGTCCACATCTGGCTGTTGTCAGGGTTTTCCAGGTGGGTCCGGAGCGGCCTGTGCTTGGGGGTTCAGGTCCACCCGAGGCCCTGGCTGGCGTGTGCATCTGGGCGTCTACACCTGGCTTCGGGCACAGGCCGTGCCAGCCCTGGACGAGCTCGGGTTGTTCTCCCTTCTGGCCCTGGGCGGTTCCAGCCGAGCAGCCACCATGGCACGAGTCTGGTTCCAGAACCACCTCGCCTCCGTATCTGTGGGACAGAAATGATACACACACATTCTTTCACCAAAAGGAATTAAATTAGAAGCAAATAGGGATTTACAGAAAAGTCTCAAATATTTGGAAATTGTTTATTAATAACCCCAAGTCAAATTAGAACATATTTTCAATTATGTGAACAGCTTGAACCTTCAAAATATGTGAGATGCCAAAATAGTCTGCACCTGCTGCAGATTCTGCGGCAGCATTCAGCGAAGGGAGCCGGACCCAGCTGTAAAAGGAAAGACGCCCGTCAGGGGAGCGAGCGCAGGGGCTGGGCCGGGTCCCCCACCCCAGAAGCCACCGTGCCCTGGGTGCCTCAGAGTGCCTGAGAGTGACGGCACGTCAGCCCGTTCTCCAGCGCACTTTCCAGTTGAGTCTCTGAGATCTCTGAAGCCAGGGTGCAGGGCACCAGGGCAGCTGAGCGGGCCACCCAGAGGCGGCCGCACCGGGTCTTCGGTCCCGAGGCTGTTCCTCCAGTCACCTTCACAGCAGGAGTTTCTAGAAAATGGGACAGGATAAGGCTTGGGAGTGGGAGTGGGTCCCAGCCTGCTCTCAGGAAAGTGGGGCGTGGCAGGAGCTCCCAGTGCCTCTGCCACCCTTCAGCTCAGTGGGCTCCAGCCCTGGCTCGCCTCTCCAGGCACGGTCCTGAACGAGGCTTTAGGCCAGGTGGATGGTGGAGGGCAGCCTTGCCTGGCAGGTGGGATGGTCCAGGATGCCCCAGATCCCCAGTCAGGAGCTCAGTGCCAGAACTGGCACCAGGGTGGCCTGTCATCCCCGTCTTGCCACTGAGTCTGGGCTGGCCAACCCCAGAGCTCTGCCCCCTGGGCCACCACTGGCAGCCTCCGTGTCCTGGTCTCTGCTGGGGGGCCTCAGGGTGTCTGGGTGGTGGGACCCGACCCCCCCAGGGTCTTGAGCAGAGCTGGGCAGCAGTGGCCAGCCAGACAACCACCCTCTTGCCCCAGCCGGATGCCCTCCGGCTGTCAGAGGGAGGAAAATTTAATTTTACAAGATTGATGGTATTGGAGCAATATTTTTAGCTGAGTCTGGTTCAAATAATAGGCCATTAATTGAAAAAGGAAATTGAAATGAATTTATCTTGTACATAAATGCTGTCAGGGGTATTAATAGGGATCAGAAAATAGTGGCGTGTTCCCAGAAGGCGGTGGAACCTGAAGCTGTGCCTGGCGCGGGAGCCTGTGCGGGGGACGCGAGGGGCATCAGGCAGCCTGCAGATGCCCGTTACCACCAGGAGATGGCGCCCACGCGGCACCTGAGAGCTTCCTACCGGAGATGCTCTGAAGGCAACTTTTGTGCTTAAAAAATGGTATTAGGCCCGGCGCAGTGGCTCACGCCTGTCATCCCCGCACTTCGGGAAGCCAGGATGGGTGGATCACAAGGTCAGGAGTTTGAGGCCAGCCTGACCATCACGGTGAAAC